ATGAAACTTCCTAGGCCGAGGGATGCTAATGATGATTGAAGTAATTTTGTTTCATTTATGTGTTGGTATCGCACAACGAAATGTTTGCGTGTAGGGACAAAAAACTAGAGGGGGAGTGAATTGGTTTCTTATAAAAATCAGGGTTTTAAATTTCCCCCCAAATTTCACCGATTAAAATGCTTGTAAAGAAAAGAGATAAGGGAAAGAAGATTACACAAATAATTTATACTGGTTTGGATCAAAAGACCCTACGTCCAGGTTTTAATCACTCTAAAAGAGGATTAACACTGTCACTATAATCATAGTTTAAAACATATTACAAATTACAAAAGATAAGGTTTAGAAAACACCTCTCTTGAGTCACACAAGAGCTGAACACCTTTGAATCCACAAAGTAATTTATACTGGTTCAGATCAAAAGACCCTACGTCCAGTTGTTAATCACTCTAAAAGAGGATTAACGCTGTCACTATAATTAAAATTTTTAAACAGATTACAAATTACAAAAGATAAGGATTAGAAAACACCTCTCTTGAGTCACACAAGAGCTGAACACCTCCTTTGAATCCACAAAGGATGACGACAACTTTTCCTAGAGACGACACAACACACAATCCACCAAGAAACCCACTCAGTGATTCTTATCACTTCTAGCCCACACTAGGTTACAAAAGCCCCTTTTTCTTCCTTACACAAAGTTTTCTAGTAATCACAACTCTTAACTTTTGTATGAAAAAGGTTGTATTGTTCAGAGAGCCATAAAGAACCTTAAATAGAGAGATTTAGGTTATGGGGAATAGGATTTTCAAAATAGGGAATAAATGCATCAAAAATAGGTCCAAAATTCGAATTTTAAAATCATAACAGACGCAAATAATCGATTATCCTAAGTGATAATCGATTATCATAGAACCATTTTCGCAGAGGAGTATTTTTGGACCGGGATAATCGATTATCCACTGAGATAAATGATTATTCCAACAAGTTTTGTAAAAAAATTTTCAAGTGGAATAATCGATTATCCTGGGTGATAATCAATTATCACAGAGTGATTTTGTTAAAAAATGAACCTTCAGTGGACAGACTATGTGCTGGCTATCTTGGACTCTATTTTTACATACTCAAAAAGACAAAATAGAGTTATTACAAGTAAATACAAATGATTAAAAGTCTTCAAGTCCTTTGTTCTTGGATCATCATCAAAATCTTCAGGCATCATACTCTTGTATATTCAACAATCTTCCCCTTTTTGATGATGATCAAAATCTGCTTTAAAGCCTCTTTGTAATAACCTATTTTCTAACACAACTATCATAGAAAAAATATTAAAACATACCGGTTTTAAAAATTTTCTCCCGCTATTTTATCATAATAAAAAAAGAATAGAAGCTCCCCCTAAAGATATGCAGAAAAATAATTAACTCCCCCTGAATATATGCAAACAAAGATTATTATTTAAGACAAGTAAATATATATTACAGAAAGAACAGACACACCAAAAAATTTACAAGAATTTAGAATTCTTCGCTCTCATCACTATTAAATTGGGCATCAAATCTCCCTTCTAAATTTGATACACGCTCATCTACATCAGAAATACGATTTAAAATTTCATGATGACGTTCAATAGAGATAGAGAAGAAATCTTGCATTCTTTGATTCATACTGAAGATCATGTCCTCAATGGAAGAGCGAGGTTCAGTATAGCGCCAGATGAAGTTCTGGCGATAGGAATATTAGCAGCAAGCATCTCTTCATCATCAGAATATGGAGCGACCTTAGCCATATGGGGAGCATCATCTTTATGGACATAAATTCCATTAACATTAACCATATGTAGCTGAGTGAGTGTGCTGTCAAACATTCGATTTGAGTTGAGCATATGAGATCTTTGCTCACCTTCAAGATTAATACCCTTATATTCTAGAATGCGGGAGATTAAAAGAGCATAAGGAATCTAGAAGGTAGGATGTTGCTTGGCCTTGAGCATTGTTAATGTAACAAGACTAGACCAATCAACTGGCTCATTGTTCATGATCGCATGAATAATATGAAGATCTGTAGTAGAACACTGAGCATGATTTGTGGCCCGGGGACATAAGATCCACACAATAAGATGAAGTAGTAAACATTCCTCTTTCTTTAGAGGACCAACAAGAAGTTGTCTGCCAATCTCCATGGCAAGATTACGGAGGAATGAAAGATATGCCAGAATCCTGTTGAATTCGTCTAGATCCGCTAGAACATTAACAACATCATCTCGAATGGGAAAGTGAGCTACGTTCTCCCATATATCATCATCAATGATGATGTTACACCCTTGACTCTAGAAATAGTAATATGATCTCTATACTTAAAACGAGAATGGAATACCCGAACTAAATCCGGATAGTACGTACCCTACATTTCAATAAAAGGAAGAACTCCTTGTTGCTCAAGAAGATTTGAAAATTGGAATCCCCTGTCTATGAATTGATCTCCAATGAGGTATTTAGGAGTAATAATACCCCTTTCTTTCTAGAAATTTAGATACTCTTGCCTCCCATCTTCATATGAAATCCACCCTTCAATTGAGTTTTGGCGAGGTTGAGAAGCAGGAGCAGATCTTCTCCTTGTTGGGATCTTTCTCCGGGAAGATGAAGCCATTTAGAGTAAATAGAAAGCAGGAAAAGTGAAAGATTTGAAGTTTGGAGAGAAACAAAAGCTTTGAGGGAGACAAAAAGACAAGAATAAGCTTTGAATCTATACAAAACTTTTGAAGAGAAGCTTGGAAGTGTTTGAATTCGATTTTGAGTCCTCCTATGTATAGGAAATACCTCCAACAACTATACACGGCTAGTTTCACAATAATTAAAGCAAAAAAAGCCGTTGCCAACAACTATTTTGTCTCCAACGGCGCAGAATAATTGATTATTTCCCAAGATAATCGATTATTTCTTCAACTGCTGCCCAGAAATATGCATGGATAATTAATTATAAGCTGAGATAATCGATTATTCCAGTACGAAATGCAAAGAATTTACAGTTGTACAAAGTTTAAGCTATTTCTAATATTCCTAAGTCTCTCCTAAGTTCATAGAATCTATCCTTGGGGAGAGGTTTGGTAAAATGTCTGCTAATTGGTGCTTTGTATCTATATATTCAATTTTACAATTTCCCTTACTAACATGATCTTTTAAGAAATGATGTCTAATCTCTATATGCTTAGTTCTAGAGTGCATGACAGGATTCTTAGTAAGATTGATTGCACTTGTATTATCACATTTCAAAGGAATGTCTTGAAGAAAAATACTGTAATCTTCTAGTTGTTGCTTCATCCAGAGAATTTGAGCACAATAATTTCCAGCTGCAATATATTCAGCCTCAATTGTGCAAATGCAACATAAGCTTGTTTCTTAGAATGCCAAGATACTAAGGATGATCCTAATAGATGACATGTTCCACTAGTTCTTTTTCTATCTATTTTACATCCTCCATAATCAGCATCAAAATAACCTATTAAGCTAGGAGAGGCACCAGAAGAATACCATAACCCAAATCTTGTGGTTCCTTTTAGATATTTTAAAATTCTTGTTACTGTAGTTAAATGGGATTCTTTTGGACATGCTTGAAATCTAGCACACACACAAACAAAATGCATAATATCAGGTCTACTTGCAGTTAAGTATAATAGAAACCCACTCAGTGATTCTTATCATTTCTAGCCCACACTAGGTTACAAAAGCCCCTTTTCCTTCCCTACACAAAGTTCCCTAGCAATCACAACTCTTAACTTTTGTATGAAAAATGTTGTATTGTTCAGAGAGTCATAGAGAACCTTAAATAGAGATATTTAGAGTATTGGGAATAGGATTTTCGAAATAGGGAATAGATGCATCGAAAATAGGTCCAAAATTTAAATTTCAAAATCATAATAGACGCAGATAATCGATTATCCTAAGTGATAATCGATTATCACAGAACCATTTTTGCAGAGGAGTATTTTTGGACCAGGATAATTGATTATCCACTGAGATAATCGATTATTCCAGTGTTTTTCAAAAACCCAGAAAGGCCAAGATAATCGATTATCCACTGAGATAATCAATTATTCCAGCAAGTTTTCCAAAACAATTTTCAAGTGGGATAATCGATTATTCTAGGTGCTAATCGATTATCACAAAGTGGTTTTGTTAAAAAATGAACCTTCAGTGGACAGACTATGTGATGACTATCTTGGACTCTATTTTTAGATACTCAAAAAGACAAAACAGAGTTATTACAAGTAAATACAAATAATTAAAAGTCTTCAAGTCCTTTGTTCTTGAATCATCATCAAAATCTTCAGGCATCATACCCTTGTATATTCAACATTATGATCCATCCATTCCTCGTTAAAACCTCCCCAGCCAAAACCCTCCTTAGGGATAAAAGATTGGTCGTAGGAAAGAGTACATGTTGGCGTACTGTATAAAGACTAACTAAAATAAAATTTTAGGAGTGATGCGTGCCAAGTGCGTGACATTGCCTTACCGACTATTTCTTCCAAGGGATAGGCTCCGTTGTTTAATGCTTTCATGATTCTGTAAGAGAATCTCTAATGGAGGGTGCTTAAAAAAAATTCAGTTGTTTCAAGCAACTATTACATTAGAGTAAATTATGTGGCACATAGGATTGCTCTATCTCAGCAGAAAAATGTTTGAAGAAGCAACTGTTGCTTCAAATAAAATATTATTATTTTCATTTTCTTCAGCACACAACAAATCAAATCCAAACCTAAAAATATCAAACGTAGGAACCATAATGGAGGGAACCATGAATCATTCATCATCATAATCAATTTCAAAATCAATTTCAAAATCAATTTCAACAGCGTGAATGATTTCAGAATCGATTTCAGAATCAATTTCAGAATCACAGCGTGAATAATTTCAAAATTATACTCACCAGTTTCAGAATCAGAATCACAACGTGAACAATTTCAGAATCAATTTCAAAATTATACTCACCGATTTCACAAAATGAAGTACAACGTGTACAATTTCAAAATCAATTTCAGCAGTCACGGGGCAGCAGTCGCGCAGGCAACAAACGCAAAGGTAGCGAACGCAGAGGCATTGGTCGCGAAGGCAGTGGTCACGAAGGCCGCGAACGCAAAGCAGTGGTCGCAAAGTAGCGAGCATGGAGCAATGAACGCGGAGCAGGAAATGGAGAGAACGCGGAGGAGCGATCGTAGAGCAGCGAATGCAGAGGTAGATCTGAGAGGTGAGGGGAGGAAGAGGGGTGAGACTAAAATCCGCGAACGCAGAGGCAAATCTGAGAGAGAAGACTTGGAGAATGAGAGGTGAGGGGAAGAATAAGGTGAGATTGAAAAAAGAAGTTACCGGTGAGGGGATGAATAGGGGTGAGATTGAAAAAAAATTGACCGTTATCGGTGAGAGGAGGAATAGGGGAGGAATGGAGAATAAAGATGGAGAAATGATAATAGAGGGAGCAATGTGAATGTTGAGAAAATGATCTATCCATTACAAATTGGATCGTTGAAGGGGCAAATAGCGGTTATAATTTTTTTTTACTATTTTTACACTATAAAATCTCTATCAATGGTAAACAAATTTCACATTTCCTTAATTTCTTCATTTTTCTTCTTCTCCAATTATGGATTCCAATCAATTTAATTATCAGTATTATTATAATTCTTTACAAAATCATTCTTCTCTTACCGGTGAAAATTCTCAAAATTATATTTATCCACCACCATTTTTTATGTTTCCACTACCTCCAATGACATCAAATATGAGTAACATTCCTCCTTCATCCAACACAGAACATCTTTCCCCGATCGGACTCGATAATATCCAACTTGATGGAAGCGGTGAAAATATTTCTCAGAGGAAACCTCGTGTACCATTCTCAATACCAGAAGATTTAATTCTTATTCAATTATGGTTGAACGTGTCGAAGGATCTAATTGTTGGAGTTGATCAGTCATTAACCCAATATTGGGAGGGATTAAAGAAGCATACAACAATGATGACGAATATAGCATTTTCACAAACAGGTCAGTGAGTCAATTAAAATCTCGATGGAGTAAACTTCACCATGCAGTTCAAAAATTTAATGCATGTTATAAACAAGCTACCAATCAAAGGAAAAGTGGTTGGGCTAAGAAAGATATTATGTCATTCGCACATAAGATTTTCACAGAAGATTCAAAATGGAAAAAATTTGAATTTGAGCATGCTTGGTTGTTGTTAAGAGATGAACCAAAATGACAATCAACATTTATGGATGTTTCTTCAAAAAGATGCAAGATTTCTACTTCAGGCGCATACTCATCATCTTCTAACCCAGAGACATCGCACAAAGTTGAAGAATTTAACACAACATCACCAATATCTTGCCCCATAAGACAAAAGACAACCAAGAGAAAGAGCAAAGGAAAAGGAAGTGCAAGTGCTACTCCCCATATTGATTTATCTGGCATAGAAAATGAAATAAGGGAAAAAAATACAAAGTTTGATGAATTGATTGAGTTAAAGAAGTCACAAGAAATGCGTTTGGAGTATGAAATACGACTAACATGTCTGACAAGCAACATGAAGATCACGAAACATATTGTAACTATATTAGATAAAAATGAGGATTTTAAATATATTAGTCATTATGATTATTAATTGTGTTTGTTTGAAAAATGTATTAGTTATGCACAAATAAAAACTAGCCGTTGTAAAACTAGTCGTTGTAAATTTAGCCGTTATTAATCTATATATAGTTTTGGAATGTCATGTAATGTCTCACAAATTACAATATTATTCTCAATTTTCAAACACTTCAATTATCCATACAATAGAATTTGAAAACATTGATTTAGATTCATTATTGGATCAAGTCATAAATGGAGAGCTCGAAGATAACCATGATGAAGAAATCATGAGGTTACTACTTGAGTACTAACAACAAGTCGACAACAATGGTGGTGACATACAAAGAAGAAAAGTAGTTCATCGAAATCGTGAAGAAGATCATCATCAATTGTTCAATGATTATTTTGCTGAAAATCTAGTATATACAAAATCTCAATTTTGAAGAAGGTTCCGTATGCAAAGGGAGGTTTTGGTCAAAATTGTGGAAGCCCTTGGCAATCACGATGATTACTTTATGTTAAGGTTAGATGAAACACGAAGAAAATGTCTATCACCTTTGCAAAAGTGCACTATTGTTATTCGCATATTGGCTTATGGCTCACCTGTAGTAGAATGCTTACAACGATTTGTATCGGGCATTTGTGCAGTATTTGGAAATGAGTATTTAAGGAGGCCTAACAATGAAGACATTGATCAATTACTACAAATGGGAGTCACACGTGGTTTTCCAGGTATGTTAAGATCAATTGATTGCATGCGTTGGGAATTGAAAAATTGTCCAATTGCATGGAAATGTCAATTTTGTCAAGGTGATCATGCTAACTTGACAATCATTCTAAAAGTTGTAGCATTACAAGACTTGTGGATTTGGCATGCATTTTTTTGGTACTGTAGGGTCAAATAATGATATTACTGTGTTAAATGCATCTAATGTGTTTAATGAAGTTATGTCAGGTTTTGCGCCTGCGGTACACTACACTGTGAATGAAACTTAATATGATATGGGATATTACTTAGCAGATGGTCCATATTTTTCCACATTTATGAAAACTATTTCAATGCCACAAGGGCAAAAGAGAACATTATTTGCTCAACGACAAGATTCAGCAAGAAAGGATGTTGAACATGCATTTGAAGTCCTTCAATCTCGATTTGTAATTATATGTGGCCCGACACGTTTTTGGGATGCTCATACATTGAAGAACATAATTTATGCATGTATCATATTACACAAGATCTACATACTTTCAAAGGAGAGCAGCGAGTTCAAGATAGAAATACTCATCACCAACTTTAAGCAAATTTGGTAGAACATATTTGGCAAAAGTTTGGAGGAGAAAATAATGAAATTTAATTTTATGTATTATATTTTTTAGTGTTGTTTGTTTTTTATTATTTTTATTTAAATATTATGTATTTTTGTATTATTTTTATATTAAAATAAGGTATTATATTATTAATTAAAGTAATTAATTATTTAATGTATATATTTATTTTTATAAAAAATATTAAAATAATGTAAAAAATATATAAAATAATGAATTGTTAAGAGTTGCTTGAAATTTTTACCATTGGAGTAAAATTAAATGAGAGTTGCTTAATTATTATGATGTGGCAATATGGGACCCTTGTTTCCCAATTTTCTAGAATGAAACAACTCTTTTAAAATTTATGCAATGGAGATGCTTTAAGGTCCCTCCCAGTTAGAGAAAAACTTACTATCGGCTGGGTCTTTCCTTGTGCAGCCTCTTGCCCGGAGTACTAGGTCTCCTCGCCGAAAACTTCTAGGAGGTACCTAGGAATTATACATTCGAGTTGCCCTTTACTTGTAGGCGGCCTCCTAGATTATGGGACGGTCTCAGACTTCTTCTATGAGGTTTAGCTCTGCTCTCATGTGCTACTCATTTTCTTCCTGGTCGAATACTTCTCGGTGTAAAAATATTTCTCCAATTTCGACCGGTATCATCACGGTTGTCCCTTACGTGAGATTGTACGACGTTTCTCCTATTGTGGAATGAGGAGTACAACAGTAAGCCCATAAAACTTCTAGGAGCTCTTCGACCCATTTTTCTTTGGTTGCCCTTAACCTTTTCTTCAGTTGTGTAAGATTACTTTGTTCGCGGCTTCTACCTGATGGTCGATTTGTGAGTGCTCAATAGAGCTTATTCGATGGGTGATGGACAAACCTGAGTAGAAACTGACTAGGCCTTTATTTGTGAATTGTTTTCCGTTATCCTTTATCTGCGAATGGCCATGGCGTCATTATTGAATGCAACTGTTCAGGCTTTTTGTGTATCATTGGTATGTGTACCTGGCATGCATGGCATCGTTGTGTGTATTTTCGATAATCATTGCAAAGTGTTGACCAATAATACCATGTTCGCAAGACCCTTGTTGTCATTGTCCTTCCCCCAGAGTGTAAACCACAAATGCCCTTATGTAGTTCTTCCATTACATACTCAGTTCGCATTGTAGGGATGCACTTTAGTAGTGGCATGGTGTGCCCTCTTCTAAACAGTTATTCCCCTATCATCACAAATTTGACCTCCTTTCTCCTGAAAATTTTGGCCTTGCTGGGATCAATTGGCTCTATCTCATTAATTATGTATTCTTTGAAAGTTTTAGTCCAAAAGGTTCCCTCAACCGTGTGGCAATGCTCGTCTCTGACCGAGGGATTTGTCAATGTGTGTTGAATAATGAATTTGTGTTGACCCTTTGAATTGTCACTGGCTAGCTTGGATAGCATGTCAGCCTTAGCATGCTCTTCTCGACTGATATGTTCAACCTTTACTTCCTTGAACTCGGCCGCCAGCTTCTTTACCAAGTCATACTATTTCAATAGTTGCGAGTCTTTAACTTGATACGTTCCGAACAGATTGACCTATCATTAGTTGCTAGTCGCTTAAGAACTTGATCCTTTCGACTCCTATTTCTCTAGCCAACCGTAGCTCGACAATGAGGGCTTCATATTCGGCTTGGTTTTTAGTGACCTTAAATTTGAATATGAGAGTTTGCTCCAAAATAAGGTCATCGGGCCTCTCAAGGACAATTCCTCCCCCCCCCCCCTTTTTATTGGACGAGTCGTCTATATACAACGTCCACCATGAGTTTTAGACTTTTATTTTTGGTGATATCTCATTCAAGAAATCAACGAGACATTGTGCCTTAATGGGACATCGGGATTCATATTGAATGCTAAATTTTGATAACTTAACGGACCAAGATATCATCCGTCCTACCAATTATGGTTTTCTCAGTATTTTCGCAATAGGATAATCACTCTAAACGATTAATTAATGACTTTGGAAATACAGTCTTAGTCGTTGAGCCGCTATGACTAGGACAAGAGCTACATCACTCCATGCGAACTTGTCGCCGCCATCCCCAACCACTGATTGGGGGGGGGAACCAAAAAGGCGAGCGGTCGCGACGCGATGGTTTGTGACTCGCATTTTCGTAAAATAAAGTTGGTTATCACTTTTAGGATGCTTGATAACCAAGCTACCCGTAAAAGTGAGATTTTCGTAAAAAGGGATTCTTAAGGATTCACTACCAATGTTTTGATCATAAACATTGAAAAAGGAAAAAGAAAAGGCGTTGGTTTAGAAAAAAACCAACTTTGGCCATTATAGCCAGAGTTGGGTGGGACTGCTGTCCCAAATTTGGGACGACCGTCTCGAGCAAGCCAAACAGGTGGGACGGTCGTCTAGAATTTGGGACGGCCGTCCCAGCTTCTTTGACAAAATTTCTAATTTTTTTATTTTCTAAGAAAACCCTCCTTTTCTTAAATGGAGCCTAGAAAACATTACGAGGGGCCCTATGAAGCTTTGAAATAGAAGATTTCTGAACTTGTTGTATGGTCGGGCAAGATTTGGGGTCTACAACTGCCCCTCCTTTCTCCTGACCGAACAATTGTTGGTAAATGTGCCGTAAGAATGGTTGGCGGGTGAAAGAGTTAACCCTCTTGTTCGATTATCCTTGGGATGCTCATTTGATGCGATAGACGATCCTCTGAGCGATGAATGTAGATGTCTTCATTTCTTCAAGGTTGACCATAGGGTGTTCCCTTCGACCCTGTGGTGATGAGTACGAACCCCCACTTGGTTTGAGTCCCCTCTATGTAAGACTCGTCCTCAGGATGCTCCTTTGATGCAGTAACTGATCCTGCTCAGGATGCTCCTTTGGTGCGGTAGCTGATCCTATAGTTGATGAGTACAAACCCCGTATCTGGTCTGAGATCTTGTTTGCATGACTCATTCTTAGGATGCTCCTTTGGTGTGCTAGCTGATCCTTGTGGTTGATGAGTACGAATCCCCATCTGGTTTGAGCCCCCTTTTGTAAGACTCAATGAGTACAAACTTCCATCTGGTTTGAAGTTCCCTTCTGTAAGACTTGATGAGTACAAACTCCCATCTGGTTTGAAGTCCCCTTTTGTAAGACTTGATGAGTACGAACTCCCATCTGGTTTGAAGTCCCCTTTTGTAAGACTTGATGAGTATGAACCCCCATTCAATTTAAAGTCTCCTTTTGTAAGACTTTGATGAGTACGAACCCCCATCTGGTTTGAAGTCCCCTTTTATAAGACTTGATGAGTATGAACCCCCATCTGGTTTGAAGTCCCCTTCTATAAGACTTGATGAGTACGAACCCCCATCTGGTTTGAAGTCCCCTTCTGTAAGACTTGATGAGTACGAAACCCCATCTGGTTTGAAGTCCCCTTTTGTAAGACTTTGATGAGTACGAACCCCCAAGTCCCCTTTTGTAAGACTTGATGAGTACGAATCTCCATCTGGTTTGAAGTCTCCTTTTGTAAGACTTGGCTTGAGTCCCCTTTTGTAAGACTCGATGGGTACGAACCCTCATCTGGTTTGAAGTCCCCTTTTGTAAGACTTGATGAGTATGAACCCCCATCTGGTTTGAAGTCCCCTTTTTGACTTGATGAGTACGAACTCCCATCTGGTTTGCAGTCCCCTTTTATAAGACTTGCTGATGAGTATGAACCCCCATCTAGTTTGTAGTCCCCTTTTGTAAGACTGGTTCAAATCCCCTTTTGTAAGACTTGCTGATAAGTACGAACCCCAATTTGGTTTGCAGTCCCCTTTTGTAAGACTCGGGCTGAAATGTGTGGTAGCGACTTACTGATCTTGGTCACGCGCTGACTCCATGGGGAGTAGTTCTGTTTGAAATTTTTTTGACTTTTCTTGTGTAGTCATTGGGTATGTTGGGGATTCCTTCAATTTTTGGCTTTTACACTAGCCATCCAGCTTCTTGATTGCTGGGGATTTTTTTGGATTTTTCCAATAGTCATCCAACTTGTTGATTGCTGGGGAGTTTTTATTTTTGGACTTTTTCATAGTCATCCAACTTGTTAATTGCTAAGGATTCTTGATTCTTTTTGGGTTTTTCCAATAGTCATCCAGCTTGTTGATTTCCAGGGATTATTTGATTTTTGGCTTTTTTCATTGCCATTCAGCTTGTTGATTGTTGGAGATTATTTGTTTTTGGGATTTTATCATAACCGTCCAGCTTGTTTATTGCCAGCAATTTTTGATAATTTCCTCTGAGGTAGGCAGGAATCCACTGGGGATTTGTTAATTTGAATGATGCCTCTGAGTAGGCAGATGCTTCATTTGGAGGTGAAGACTTTTGGTTCCACTGTTTTGCCTCTGAACAGGCTGATGTTTCACTTGGGGATGCTGGCTTTTGCTTGCCAGGTCTTGCCTATGCATAGGCAAATGACTCTCTGAGGATGTGAATTTGAAGATTGCCTTTACAGTAGGCTCACTGGGGATACATCTTTCTTTTTGGTGATCCACCAGGGAATTGGTTGACTTCTTGGGGATCTTGTTTTTGATTGCCCTCTAGGGAATAAAGTCTTAGCTCTTTGATTGATGTTGATGAGAGCTGGCTTTGTGAAGTTCTTATTCCGCTAAGGGAATGAAATTTCTGATTCCCTTATTTGACTACTTTATTTTTTTTTTTTTTTTATGTGATGGGGGGGGGGGTTTATTGGTCTTCCTTTGTCATGACCTATCCTCTTTTTGGGCATTCGCTTGGGGATGAAGAATTTTCTTTTCTTTTTCTTCTTATTGAGCCCTTGAGAGTATGAAGATTTGACTCCAAGACTATTTGATGATGGGCTTTTGTGAACCCTTTATTCTCGCTTGAGGAATGTGGCGGAGATGAGTATGCTTGATGACTCATGTGGTGGCGATGCTGAGCCTTAGGGTAATATTTTTTTGCTTTTGCCTTTGGAGTAGGCAAGGATCCTCTTGGGGATGATTGAGTCTTTCCGTCGGCTTTTCTTTGTTGATGGTTGTGAAGCCTTTATTTTCCATTGGGGAACATGGCGGAGGCGAGTATGCTTGATGACTCATGTGGTGGCGGTGCTGAGCCTTAAAGTAATATTTTTGTTTTTGCCTCTGGAGTAGGCAAGGATCCTCTTGGGATGATCGAGCCTTTCTGTCGACTTTTCTTTGTTGATGGTTGTGGAGCCTTTATTTGGGGAACACGACGGAAGCGAGTATGCTTGATGACTCATGTGATGGTGGTGCTAAGCCTTAGGGTAATATTTTTTGGTTTTTGCCTCTGGAGTAGGCAAGGATCCTCTTGGGGATGATCAAACCTTTCCGTCGAATTTTCTTTGTTGATGGTTATGGAGCCTTCTCTTTATTGGGTGAAAGGATGAGGGTTGGAGCTTTGGGTTCTAGAAGCTCTTATTTTCTCTGAGTCGCTTGATTAATGATGATGACTTGGTCTATTTTCTTGAGGGGGAGCATTATTTGAAGACTCGGTCTCGGTGATCCTGTTTTCAATCACAAACATGGAGCCTAATCTCCTTATATGCATGATTCTTATTCTTTGCTTATTTGTTTAAAGAGA